GGGGGGGGGGGGGGAGTAATCCTGGAAATTCTTGGTGAGGGTGTGCCGCCCGGTTTTTCAAATCCTCGGTCCCGATTTCAGACTAAAAAATGTAATTTTCCACACTAGACCTCCGAAATCCATACTCGTTTCAGACCTGGCCTTTAGGCTGTCGGAAATTATGTTATATGATTACTTAGATTAGAGCGTAAACAAAACAATTATTCAAAGCCATTTCGAATTCGCATAGTTCTCTTTCTTTCTTACTCATTTGGAATTGAAACGATAAGTACATTCATACACTCCGTAGTTCCCTCGATAACCATACCCGATTCCAGACCAAAATGGACAAAGTGTATACCCGTTTTTAGACCAAAACGGCGCAAAAACCCTACCCGATGGGGCGGCACATACCTATATGGGTCATATAAGAGAGTACCCCCCCTTCGGACAGCACTGACAAACTAAGGAACCAAAAATATTATTTCAATTGTTTCATCTTTAATACGGTCTAGAAGAATACGCTTACGTTATCACATATGTCTAAGACGCCGTTACCTACAGCTGTATATCCAATTGATACTATAGACATGTAGTAGCCTTCTACACAATGACCCACAAAGAGAACGTTTGCACGATCACGATCCCCCATCAACGTAATTGATGTGCTGTTTAAAAAACGAGCCGGAGTGTATCATCAGGTTTAATTTCGTTTTCAACCGCCCAATAATACACGACTGCGAGGTTTTTGAACGGTTTCAAAATCTCTGATACAGACCAACTCATTCTTGATTTGGGATTATTTTGGTGTAAAAAAAATTGGCCGTATATATAAGATCAGCCGTGTGTCTTTATCAGACATAAAGACACTCATTAAACGTTAATTTCGTTGCCTTTTCTAGAACAGACTTCATCAAGTGACACGTTGGTGCGTTTCCAAATCCACCTCAACGTTTACAAAAGGCAATATCAGTAATTACCTATTAACTAAGTTATTAAACAAGAGTAGACAACGATTTCCGTTATTAAGACAATGTAGGCGATCGGGTGTTGACTTAAGGTACGTCTAAGTGCTGTTAATTGATCACGTAATAACGAAAGCCACAACAAAGAAGCCACTCAAAAAGCAAGCGGTAAAAACTAAATGAAGTCGGCGTTGTTTTAATCTTTTGTTTAAGAAATGGGACAAAAANCGCAAAAACCCTACCCGATGGGGCGGCACATACCTATATGGGTCATATAAGAGAGTACCCCCCCTTCGGACAGCACTGACAAACTAAGGAACCAAAAATATTATTTCAATTGTTTCATCTTTAATACGGTCTAGAAGAATACGCTTACGTTATCACATATGTCTAAGACGCCGTTACCTACAGCTGTATATCCAATTGATACTATAGACATGTAGTAGCCTTCTACACAATGACCCACAAAGAGAACGTTTGCACGATCACGATCCCCCATCAACGTAATTGATGTGCTGTTTAAAAAACGAGCCGGAGTGTATCATCAGGTTTAATTTCGTTTTCAACCGCCCAATAATACACGACTGCGAGGTTTTTGAACGGTTTCAAAATCTCTGATACAGACCAACTCATTCTTGATTTGGGATTATTTTGGTGTAAAAAAAATTGGCCGTATATATAAGATCAGCCGTGTGTCTTTATCAGACATAAAGACACTCATTAAACGTTAATTTCGTTGCCTTTTCTAGAACAGACTTCATCAAGTGACACGTTGGTGCGTTTCCAAATCCACCTCAACGTTTACAAAAGGCAATATCAGTAATTACCTATTAACTAAGTTATTAAACAAGAGTAGACAACGATTTCCGTTATTAAGACAATGTAGGCGATCGGGTGTTGACTTAAGGTACGTCTAAGTGCTGTTAATTGATCACGTAATAACGAAAGCCACAACAAAGAAGCCACTCAAAAAGCAAGCGGTAAAAACTAAATGAAGTCGGCGTTGTTTTAATCTTTTGTTTAAGAAATGGGACAAAAAACACTTGGTAAAGTTTTGAAAGCACTTGTTGCTACCAACGTCACTGTCTCTGACACCTCGGCCAACCTTACAAGACATATTTCACAAAGGAGTTCAGGCCAAATGTAAGGAAATGGCCGCTCTATGAATTCCTTGCTCTAACGCTGATTAAACAACGAAAATGTTATGTTGCGTCGCCGTAAATAATATGCTCGATGCCAGACACCCTTACAACCGGCACTTTTTCACGGTCAGGGTCTGTCTTTAGAGAGATGTTCACCTTATAAAGTCAAAAAAGGGAAGGAAAGGCAGGGAACACTGAACACTATAGGTTTCCGTTTCAACGAGGTGTTCTTCTTATAGAGATACTGTCCGATAGGAGAGTATATGTATACGCAAAACGAAATAAAATTGTGAGATGGAAAATAACGAAAATATGCTACACTGAGATAGCTTCTACTCTAATTCCACTTTCTTCAGCATTTTTTGTATCAACCTCTACATTAAAATAAAGGCAATATCAGTTTATAAAAACACTTTGTCAGTAAGCCACCTGTGGCAGCCTTTTTAGTCAAGAATGTTTGTCACACCACAATTAAGGCCACTCTGAAGTGAAATCATGTATTAAAGTGTATCTCGTTGACCTTTGTT